CACGGAGGCAGGGACGCCCTGGTGTGCAGCCTAGCCTAGACAGCGCTGTCAGACAGCATTTTGTCACTGCGCTGTCCCTGCTCTCTTAAAAGGATTTTTTCCAAAACTCACTAGTTCTGTCTGGCAAAAGCTCTTTTGTCCCATGTGTCTGCCTTTTTCCTTTCTCTCCACTGTATCTCTCCCCATTCTGTCTTTGCAACGGTCTTGTCTGTGTTCCCCGCTGTCTGTGTCTGTGCTGCCTTCTCCACGTGTCTGCACTGTTGTTTGGTTTGGGTTTCCCCGCCACGCAGCCCTGCCGGCAGCTGCTCCTCCTTTCTCAGCTGTGCTCCTGGGTCAGCAGCAGCGGCGGTGCCCGCGGGGGCATGTGTGGGGCCCCATCCTGGTGCCATTCCTCATGCTGCAGGAGAGCTCTATCCTCCCTGGGGATTAGGACAACAAAAAATAACAACGCTTTTAAATTAATTATAACAATGCTTTTAAATTAATTATAACAATGCTTTTAGAATCTCCTTGTCAGCAGGTGAAAAGAGGGAAGAAAAGGTGCGCTGGGGGCAGGGGCTGAGGGCTGCAGTCATTGGGGCAGGTGCTGGCAGCGGCTTTTCGGAGTCTGTCCATCCTGTTGTACTGCAGAGCTCCTCATTAAACAGGAGGAGGAGATGCCCGTGACTCTGCTAAGCCTCCGAGCTCGGCCATGCGGAGCAGGAGGAGGCTTGTGAGCCTGGACCGTGAGTCTCAGGGTAGCATCCCCTCACGAAGGGCGACCCAAGCCTTTCCCCATCCGTTTCCAGTGTTATCTCTTTACCTGCTTCTTCTGGGGCCTGGTAAGGTGGCAGGTGTCCCAGGCAAGTGTGCAGGATGGCTCTTGGCTCCGTGCTGCCGAGCAGAGCTTTGCACACCCTGCTGCAAGGGTGACTTATCGCGGGCGCTAGGAGGGCTCTGACTCCCTCCCTCCTGGTGCGGACGAGCTACCCGGGCATGCGACAGGGCAGATTGCAAGGTCTGCACCAGGTTGGGCAAAGCTCTGTGTGGTTCATTTGCTGGCTGATCAGCCCTGCTACCTGTTCCGTGGAGCCCGTACTTCCTGGCACCGGCCCTGCATCCCTGCTGGGCTTGTGGGGCAGGGATGCGCCACATCCAGCTGCTCTGAGGCCGGCAGAAGAGTTAAATCAGAGCAGCGTCGTTACAACTAGGTCGAGCTGAATTATTCATAGCAAATCATTTATTCACCAAACTCAGCCTCGTTTTCTGCGAGCAGCACACTATTGTCCTGGATTTATTCACATTTGGAGATGATTCCTGGTGCAGCTCTTGTCCCAGAGGTTGTGCCAGTGTTGCTCATGGGGTTTTCTTCATTAAAATGCAGAGGGGTTTCCAGCTAGATTTCATGGTATTTGTAGCTCGCTGGGGTCCTCTTCCTGTTAGCATTTGGATGAATGGTTTTGGTGAGCAAGATTTATGGTGCAAATATTTGTGTTTGCATCCAATGAACCTCTTCTGGGTCAAGTTGAAGGCAGAAGGAGACCTATATTAAACCCTGCGTCGATTCTCTTTTGCCCTTTGGCCCAAGGATCAACATTCCCCCCTGTGTGTATGACTATTCCCTGTCTATATGACTGTTTGTTCCAGAGTTTTTTATCAGCAGATCTGCTGAAACCAGCTGCTGAAAGGGCACAAATTCTGGGCACACTTTCTTTGGCACAAAGCTTTGCTTTCTGGTTATTTCTGCCTTTATTTGCCCAGCTACAATAAAGTGAATGTTGGGGGCATCTGCACCCCTCCTGACCGCACCAGTGCCTGGGGGAAAAAGCGGTGCCTCCCTCCCCCAGCTCTGATTCGTTGCTATCTCGTTATCTGCCAGTTCCCCCTTCTGTGGGGCACAGAGTTAATTAAGAGCCGCTGGAGACATCCCAGCTGCTGCCTCTGGGGCTTTTGCGGCAGAAGCATCAAGAGCTCCTCTCATGTTCTCGGTCTCTCAGGCTGGTGTTCAAGAGAGGATGCACCTAAAAAAAATGACCTAAAGCCAGGGCAGGAGGCAGGTTCCCAGCACGCGTTGGGCACCAATGCAGGCAGCGAAGGGGGGAAGAGGCAATTGCTGCCGAGCACAGGGATGCGGTGGGAATTTGGCCTTTCCTCCAGCCTCATCCGTCCCCATCCGAGATCACTCATTCTCCGTCGGTGCAGCACCCGCTCCCAAGAGCGGGAAGCTCCTTGCCGGAATGGGAAGGCAGCAGCGTTTGCATCGCCCGTGTTCTTCCCTTTTCCTTTAGGGCCTAGGAAAAAAAAAGGCAATTTTACAAATTAGGTTTTTTTCTCTATGTTTTTAATCAAATTTTACATCGTATTCAAAAGCATCAGGAACTGCTAAAATGTGGTCTGGAAGAGTGATTTCTGACAGAAGAATCGGAGCACTAGAGTTGGGGGAGGAGATACTGATTTTATTTTAAGCAGGGTATATGCAGAGTAGCTAAATAGCTAACTGTTGTTTTTGTCATATTATTGCCTATGGTGTATGCAAAGTGTTGAGGGTTTTTTTTGTCTTCCCATCCTCGATAGGGGTGAAAATCAATATACTTGAAAATCAAAACCAATAATCTTGATTAATTTTTCAAAAAGTAAATCTAGGCCAATTGAAATACTTGCCTTTGACAGTTTTTAACAATTTTGATTGGATTACAGCTCCTTTAAAATTGTTTCTGTGGAAGTGTCAATAAATTAAAATAGGTGCAAAATCAGCAAATACCTTTGGGGTAAGTGGCACGTGTACAGCAGGGCCCTGTCGCGGAGGGCCTCGCGGGGTTTGCCCTGCTCCCCTCGACGCGCTGCGCTCTGCACTCATCACCGCTGGATCCTGGGGCCGCACGTGTCTCCCGCGGGCTGTGTCCTGCCTCCGTGCCCTGTGGGAGGCCAGGCTAGAAAGTCAGTGGGGGAGCTGGGACACTTCAGTCCCAGAGTGAATTGGGTGCTGATTTCCCTGAGGGTAGAGCTCTCCTGGGAGGTGTTATTTCCCATCTGCTTGCTCTTCACTTCCGTGCATCTTCCTTCGCTCTCCATCTCTTTGACCCTCCTTCTCCCACTGAGGCTGGATTCTCTGGGGCACTCTCAGTAGCGACGGGCTCGTGCTGATGTGGAAACTTTGCTGTAACGTGTTGTGCGCCGAGGGCAGAAGTCTGAGTTGAAATGCTGCTCCCATTCGGCTTGAGCAAACAGATTAAGTTCTCGTGGCCTTGCCAGCATGTGATACTGTCATAGAATTATCAATGAGGCATATCTCAGTGGCATATCTCACGTGGAGATAACCTCAGGGTATGTTTGAGAGCTCCTTGAGATTGCTGTTGTTAGGCACAGCCCTTAGGAAACAGGGCTCGCCGTGGCACTAGCCGCTCATCCCTGCAGTGTGCACCGTGCTCCTAAGATGAGTAATAACGCGAGTAGCAGCTCTCAGCTCATTGGAGTGTTTGCTCACCACAGAAATAGACTTTTTGCACATTCACTGCTGCAAATGCTGCTGGCAGATCTAGAGACAAAAAACAGTGAATCAAAAGGAAGGAATTCTTATTTCATGGATCAGATGTGAGTGCCTGCAGCAGCTGTCCTCCATCCATAGTCAACTAGAGCAGTTGGAAAAGAGCAGGGCTGGTTTCCCTCATCACTGCGGGTTGACCAGAGCAACCACGAGGTGGAAACGCCTGGACCGTGCAGCTGTGTGACGTGACGGGAGTGAGCAGCACCCATCCGTGCCAATGTCAGGCATGAGTCCCCCGGCAAGTCCTCACCCAACTGCCACTGCGTTGGCTTGGAGCGGGGGGACGACAATGTTTTCTCCTTGACTGGCAAAAGATATCAGGAGAAACATCCTCTCTGAGAACAGCAGAATGCCTAAGGCAGCTCAATTACATTTTTGAAAAATTGCATGTCAGAGACTGCTCCAAACAGGATGACTCTCCAGTACTGGGAAGGAGGGATAAGTCCTGGGTTATCAATCTGGCCTTTCTGTTGCCTAATATTCGGATTGTCTTGGCCAAGCCTAATAAGCTCAGTCACTTCTCTGTCTTTCTGCAGCCCCCCTGGGGTGTTTGGTCTATTCTGTGAATGGCAGAGAGCTTGCCAAACTACTAAACTTTGATATAATCTATTTCCTCCTATGCAGTATAAGGACATAAAGCATTATATTCAAATCTTCATCAAATCAGGCTTATTCCAGAAATGTGTTGAGGTTTCAGGCAGAATAGGCCACCCTTACTGGGGTCACTGCAAGCAGGTGAACGCAGGAGCACCTGGTCGGAGGCCCCAGCTCGTGCTCCCAGCTCTGATCAGTATCTAGCACCAGCAAGGAGGAAGCCGACCCTGGGCACGTTCCCAAAACATCTCAGTTAAGCTGCACTGCACCCCAGGACTCCCTTGGACAAGGGTGTCCCTCTGCCCAGGATTGCACAGGACCTGGCCTAGGAACTGGGCTCCATGCCAAGAATATTTGTAGCGTGGTGACCACTTGTGTCTTTGCAAATCCACCCTGAGCCAAAGCAAGAGCTGGTCTTTCCTGCACACCTTGGCACCTTACTGCCTCGGTGCGTTTTATGCTGTTGCAGAACACGCTTTTAATTTCTTTAGCAGCATGTTGGGCTCTTGTGAAACAAAGAGAAGGTTTCGGTGCAGCGATAGGGATCAGTGGCGCAGTCTAAGCAGCTTTCAGACATGGATGAAATTCACCCCGAGGAAGCGGCCCGGATAAAGCTTTGCCTCTGCTGCGAACCTCTGCCCAGGTAGATTAGTGCTCAGCAGCTTCCTCCAGCTGTGTGAAGTCCCCAGGAAAGGAAATGCAGAGCCGTGTCTGATATGGCTCTAAGGAAGTTTCTAAACAGGTTGTTGAGAAATCATGAGATTGCTGAAGGAGAAGAATGCCATCCTTTAAATGTACTGCTAAGATTGTCAGCCAGGCTTGGAGGGGACTTCTAACTAGCGGCCAAGTGAATGCTCTGGGCCCAGGCACCGTGAGAAGACGCAGTCTCCAAGGCACCTTGTTTGGTGCAATCTCCAGCACTTCATTACCTGCAAGAGTGGTGAATTTGCCCTAATCAGAGATGGCCCTGACTGTTGATGAGAAAGAACTTGCTGAATAGTCTAAAGATCTTAGAAAGCTCTATAGTGATATTGAGAGATGATTTAATGTCCAAAATGAAAGAACATAGGAGGGGGACATTATTATCTTGCTGTCACTAATCCAGCCCCTTCCCACATGAGTATGGCCTGGAGCTGTGCATCTCGTTAACCGAAAGAAGAGGAAGAGACCTTCAGAGCTCCAGAGGGGCCAACAAGGAGAGGAGACATGTGGCAGAAGTCTCTCTAATAGCAAGCCTATTCTATACCTTTAGTGAGGAGCAGCCAGATCCAACTGTGCCAAACACAAGCAGCCAAAATACAGAAGGCAGCTTTGAGTGATGCAGGGAAGAATGGAGGAGGCAGCTCTGTGGAGCAGCTCCTGCCGCGGCGCTCCGGGGGAGGCGAGCCGTGATGCTCACCGAGGAGCTGGGCAGCTTCTGCGCTGCCACGGAGAGCCCGAGTGGGACGCGTGGGGTCCACCACATGTCTGAAGGCTGCAGGCTGCCGTGAAGCTGGAGCAGAGGCCTGGGCTCCAGACTGGGATGACGATGTTCAGATCAGTTTGCTTTGGAAAAAGGTATCTCGGTAGGACTGCAGTATAAATGCTGGCAAAGCAGTTGTTTGAGAGCTGAACGTTGCAATTCAGACATGCTCAAAAAAAAAAAAAAAAAAAAAGAATTTGACATCTTTCTGGGGAAGATGAGTTCTGGCTCCCTGCACATATTTGCATGTGAGAAGGGCAAACATTTGTGTTCTGGCCATTTCTAAGACCAAGGGCTCAGGGGAGGGGTGGAGGGAGAAGTCTTGACCAACGCTCACAGCAGCTCCCTTTCTCCCTGCAGCGCCTGGTGCGGATGAACATGCCCATCTCGCCCGAGGATTTAACCGTCCACTTCACCTCAACGCTGATGGCCTTGATCCGGACTGCTCTCGAAATCAAACTTGCCACAGGTGAGAAGTGAGTTGGCGGAGGGCCGCAAAGCCTGAAGGCTGGTGGGAGCTCCCCAGTCCTCTGGAAGCCACAGGAACCCTCGCGCGGGTGGAAATCTCCTCTTCCACCTCCACAAGGGCAATAGCAGGGCACAGGGCTGGCAACAGAGAGGGGTCCCAAGGCTTGCTCTGCCTGATGATAGTGAGATGGAGGGTTGTGTTTGGCCATCTCAGAAGCTCAATGGCACCCCTTGTACATACAGATTGCTGTATATGGAAAGACAATGTTGTATATGGACAAACAACCATTTCCATACCTTGTTTCTTAGCAATGACAGCAGAACAGGGGGAAAAAAAAGCCCTCCTTCTGCAGTGTTGCTGTCTGCTAGTAGTGAAGCAGTGACTTGGAGCTCTGTGAACTGTGTTCTGCCTTGAGATAAAATTTTAATTATTTAAGTGTTTAATCAGGCATATGCTTGACTTCCCGATTAAGCATTGCAATATAATAAAATACACTGACTTCTTCTCTGGGTCATTAAACTATTTAATCAGTCTGTCTGGGGTCAGAATCAAGGCATGACCGGCCAAAGCACTTTTTTACCTAATTTAAAAACTAACAGGAGGTAATGATGTTATGGGTGAAGAGCATGGTTGTATTAGGATGCTGTGCTTTTCCTAAGTGGTTTCAGGCCAGTTTTTTACCTTTTCTGTACTAATTAACTCCCTCATACACTGTAGAAACTGTTGGTTTTGTTGCTTTGGGTAGGTGTTACTGGCAGAAGAGAATGTTTTGTGGCTATTAGAACACCCCTGGAGAGGGAACAGAGATTCAGACTCTCATTTCTAAGCGTACAATTAAGACCTCCTGGGTTTTCAGAAACCAACATCTTATTGCAGTAATAACCTCTATTATTGCTGCTGAATGTGGCAACCCTATCTCTTAGGATGCTGAAGTCTTAAGAATTAGCAGTGTTTTATGATTCTAGTTTTAGTATTACTTTATGAATCTAGTTACATGTCAGCAACAGCAATTCAGTGTTTTTCAGGTGAAAATGGTACTTTTTTGCGGGAGGGGAGGATACATATTGGGAACTGGAAAACAGAGCTCAAGTGATAGTGCTGGATTCTTTCTAGGGCTTATATCTGCTGTGGGTTGTGAGTTCTTGACCTGGTTTATTGTTACGAGTTTGGTTTAAGTAGCTTTAATGGACTGCATTTAATTGAGTCTTTAGTGGGACTAACATGCCCTTAATAGACCTTCCCTAATGAGATTCAATGTGGGAGGTCAAGCCACCATTTAGCAGCATATCCAGAGTCTTCTCCCGTTACTCTTCTCTTAGAAAAATAATCTCTGTCATTCACATGAGCTACTTAATTGCCTGCCGTGCAGTGCATCCATTTGGGAGTTGGCCTGTTGTACACAGACTTTAATCACTTTCCACTTGCGTCCTGGGACATTACTTTGGCCCTTTGAATAAAGCTGCTGTGTTGGGCGCTCTGTTTTGTGTTGTTCTATAGCTCCTGCCTGATGGTGCTGACACAGAACAGTATTCTAAATGTTTCTGTCATTCCCAAACACTTTGGGATGGGTTGGTGGCAGTGGAGAGGGTTCGTAATAATTCATGGGACTGTTCGTACCTTGGACTTGCTGTAATTTGGTAGCTGGGTAATTTTCCTCTTAGGTCTTGTGCTTCTGAAAGGAGGGGGAGGAAAAGGACTGCACATAATTCATTCCTTTTTTAAACACCTAATTAAGGTGGTGAAACTGGGAGTATAGTTCTGCTTAGCTCCCTTCAGAGCCACCTGGGAGAAGTGCTGGTGCAAAGGCAGCCCAGGTTCTCTGATGTGCACCCTAGAACGGACCAACATTTTCCCTTTTCCTCACACACTTTTTCTCTCCCCTCCCTTCAGGAGGTGTGAAGCAGCACCAGTGTGATGCTGAATTGAGAAAAGAGATCTCGCTGGTTTGGCCCAATCTGTCGCAGAAGACCCTGGATTTGTTGGTTCCTCCTCACAAACGTAAGTGGTCCACCAGCACGCGCCAGCCCTAAGCACCCAGGCAGGTGCTTGCTGCCTTGCCTGCCCTGCCCCAGCTCACCCAGGCACAGAGACACCTCATGGTGCAGTAAATAAGCCCAGAATAAGTCATCGAGGCGTCACCTCCCCAGTGTTCACAGCCCACATCTCCATACCGTGGGTATCAACAGAGTCAGCAAGCCAAGGTCATGTCCAGGCATGTACTTCCTGATGTTTCAGTGGGTTTCTAATGTGCCAACAAGGAGGCATCGCCCTGTGTGGGCTCTTCCAGAGATATATATTTTTTTCTGTAGCTTTCCTTGCTTCCCGTCTGTGCCATACGGGAAAGGAGAGCAATTTCTGCTGTCTGGGATCAATCTGGTCCAGAAAATCAAGAGAAGAACATTAAAGTTTGCTGAGAACTCATGTAATCAGAAGTGAGGCACTTTGCTAAAGGCCTTTTTGTTATTTAATGATGTCCTGTGCGAATGTGCTGAGAAAATGGAAAGATTGCCATTATCTTGATTGGCCAAAATGAGAGCTCTGGATTCCTGATTAATGAGAAACCATGCAGCCCAATAAAGGCATTGTTAATTAAGAAAAATGAGGGAGCTGAGGAGGTGCAAATCAGAGGGTAGCAACTGCCTAAGTCTTTTCCTGTGCACATCCCTTGATGCCTTTATATCTGGTGTTTAACCCTTCAGTCTGAAGCATTTTTTCAGCTGCCATGTATGGAAAGGCCAGTAGCATAGCTGTGAGGGCAAAAAAGACATCTGGAAAAATGAAATACAGTTTTAAAGAATATTAGCCCCTTATGTCCCAGCTGACTGTAATTCAAAGGAAGAGAAATGATGCTTCCCTGTTGATAAAACGCTGGCTGCAGATCTGGTATTAATTTAGCAAAGTCTCTCGTCAGTCTTGCTTACAATGCCAGAGCCTTCTTGGCTTTTTTTTTTTTTTCTCTTTTCTTCTTTATTTCCTCCACAGCCTTTCTGAATGTTTTTCTTAGAGACCTGTTATAAACAGGGCCGTCCTCCCCAGACACGAAAGGTAGCAGCAGGCAAAGGTAGAAGGGAGGAATGGGAAAAAGTTGATCTTTGTGTTATAATCTTTTCTTGCTCCTTTTTCCTTTCCCCCACTCTTTTCTCTTTCTTATACCTCATTCTAATGCGATGTCTTCTTCCTGTTTTACATGCCCATTTGTTTTTGATACTTATTTTGCTTTTTGATTTACTCTTTTCTTCTTGTTTTATCCTTTCTCCACCTGAACGTCGCTGCTACATCTTGTTGTCCTTTAATCAGCCGATGAGATGACTGTGGGGAAGGTCTATGCAGCACTCATGATATTCGACTTCTACAAGCAGAATAAAAACAGCAGGGAACAAGTCCACCAGCCTCCGGGAGGCCTGTGCCAGGTACTCGCTTTCTGTAGCTGGGGGCACTTCTAACAAGTCTCATGAGCTCGTTTCATCTGGGAAGTCTGGATGCTTCTCCAAGCAGGATTTGAAAATGCTGTCTTGAATATGGAGCATCTCTTGGAAGTGTCTGTATGGTCTCAATCTTTTTTTTAAAAAAAAAAGCAATTTCCATTTCCAGAATTTCAAGTGATGTGGGTGACTAAGTCCTATTTTCAGAAGCAGATTACATGCTGGGACACCAAAGAAGTATTCAGAGTTAATGTCAGTTTGGCCGCAAAATGCCCAAGGTGCTTTCAAAAATGGGAATTATGCTTCAAAACAAATTTCTTGGAAATTTCTCTGTGTTGTTGTGCAGTCCTTTCACCTTCTTTGGGCATCTGCTAGTGAAAACAAAGAGTGAACATTTGGGGAAATATTTTCACTGGAGTATGGGGCAAAGGGGTTGGTGATTCTTGTTCCAGCCTAAGCAGTTATTTTACTACTGTTCATTTATATCTCCTGTATCCCTACTAACACTGTAATATTCACTTCATAGCCCTTCAGTGTGGCAGGGTGGTGGTATTTGAGTCAGAAGCTGAGATTCCAGCTTAAAACTGAAAACCATTTCCAAGGATAGCCCTGACCTGCAACTTAATAGGAGTTCACAGGAAGAAAATCCTTTTCAGTACTTCTACTTCTCAAATTTGATACCACACAAATATCTTGCGTTATGGAAGCCAGTGACAAACCTCTCTTTGGATTTAGATGTTCAGGATTTTGTCTCATAAAGATTGTCATATGACCACACACAAGAACACTGGCTCAGGCTAATAGCTTTCTGAAGGTGATAACACAGTGACATCTGGGGAAATGGCATGAGAAATGAGTGAGTGCAGGGTGATATGTCCTCTCCTTCTCCTGTTGAGCTTCATGGTTTGCCCTTAGGGACTTTCTCAGGCAGGAGTTTTATCCTCATCTTGGTACCTAATAGCTTTCCATAGACTTCTTATGATGGCCAGGGGGCAGTTGCATAATTAGGAGGCAGTCTGATAAATATGTGTAATATACTCCTCAAACAGCAACTGCTTTGGGATTGAATCCCCAATCATGGAACCACTTCAGGATGAGCAAGCACAGGACGAGGATCTGCTGTGGCCACCTCTGTCCCTCACACAGACACCGGGCTGAGGCGAGAGCGGCACCTGACTTGGAGTCACAAGCTGTGACCTGAATTAAACAGCTCCTTCTGTCTACAGCTTCCCCTTTGCAGCCCATGAGAAAGCTCCCATCATTGTAGGAAAATCCTGCTGCACTCTGCAGCCTGGGGGAAGTATTTTTGAGTCCAGATGTGGATTGTAGCACAAATGTTCTCTTCAATGTTGTCCTGTGCAAAGAGAAAGACAGCAATTGTCCTTCAGAGCCTCTAGCAGCTCAGGGAAGGTCAGTGTGTTTTCTGCTGGGATAATCTTTCAGGGGACATTTTATTAAGGAGGAAAGACGCAGACATTTTCTCCATATCCCAGGCTGTCTCTGAGAGCCTTTCTTTGTCCTTTGCAGCCTGGAGCGGTGTCACTGTTCCACCCGCTGAAGGCCACTTTGGAGCAAACGCAGCCCGCAGCGTTCAGCAACGCCAAAGCATTCCTTCGTCAGAAAAGCTCTGCCTCGCTCAACAACGGGGGCACCCTGTGAGTACCCCGGGACCTGCTCGCGTGGCTGCGGGGTGAGGAGGGGCAGCCTGGGCGTGTGACAACCGTGGGCGCTACCGCTGTGATTGCTTTGGAAAGGGTGCAGCACATCCCGGGACCGCGCGGGGCGGCCCCTTCGCACTGTGGCAGGGAGGTGTCCTGGGACAGCTCCAAGCTGCCTCTGTACAGCTCTGTGGCCACCACTTCTTCTGAGGCCACAGTTGTCACAGATTTTTAATTATAGCTGTCTGGGGTTATATAACCATGGTGAGACACCAGTGTGAGTTGTATAAGAATAGAAAGCCAGGGCCACCCGTAATAATTTAGTGTAGTAAGACTGCAACTGTGTTTGCCCCATACCATTTAACAGCTCTTTGTCTAACTGGTCTTATATAATTTCCTTGTTCTATAACACCCATTTATTTATTTATTTTGTTTTACTTCCTCATATTGTTGCCATATTGTTTGGTCATATTGGTTGGTGCAGGTTCTTCCATGCTGTATGGAAGAATGTCCCTGTCAGGGTCCAGAAGACTGTATAGCTTCACCAGGCACTGTGCCCGTGCTGCAGCTAGTTTCACAAGGACAGGGAAACCTTTGAAAACTCCAAGTGTACCTAAGCACTCTGTTGTCTTCATCACAATAAGGTTAAAGATAATAATAAGGCTCTGTAAAAGAGCTCATCTGCCTTTCCTCTTTACCTCCTGACAGGCCAGCCCCAGAGGGTGGGATCAAAGAGTCCAGTTCCTGGGGGACTCAACGCACCCAGGATGTGTTTTATGAAACCAGGACACCAGCTTTTGAACGAGGCCGCTCAGAAGAAATCCCTGTTGAGCGGGTGAGCAGAAATGTGAAGGCAGAGTGAAATGCAGAGTGTCTCAATACAATAGATATCAAACTAGACACTTGCCTGATAGCTGAAGGTCCTCTGTCTTCAGAAAAGAGTATTGATCTCTCTTTTAACAACTCAAAACTTGCTTCATTGTTTTGGAGAGGAAAAAGAATATGTATATGTGTGATAGCTTGTACTGTAACTTTCTGTGTGGACAGTTCTTCTGGAAATGCCTACACCTGGAGCTAGGTTTTAATAATCCTAGTTACCTAGCGTTATTTCTTCCTAGTTTGTTATTCCTCTATTCCTCCCCCCGCATGGCAGTCATTCCCATGGCTCATGGAAGTGCTTGGGCTCCTCTTGCCCATGCTGAAGACAGTGCTGTCAAAACATAGCCACCTCTGTGCTCCACAGCTCTTGGTTTACTCTCTTGTCCCTACCAACATCTCTTCAGAAGTAAACAAAGTTTAGAAGAAACCTGCTAGGATGATGGCTTCGAAGCTTGTGTTTATGTTCTTACTACTGACACTGTTTCTTGATTTAATCAGGTGGTAGAAATGAGGGAAATCAGCCCCACACTTGCCAATGGAGAGCACCAACCAGGCCTGGAGAGCCAGGGACGGGCAGCTTCCATGCCACGCCTGGCTGCCGAAACTCAGGTGAGCTGCGCTGCTAGCGGCAGACTTGGAATAAGTCAGGGGCTCTGTACGTTCCCCCTTCTTGTCATGTTGTTGAAGGATGCTTGTGGGTATTTGTTTTAAAAGATGTTTATTGAAACTGGAGAAAGGTAGCAAACCTTTTTGTGCTTTAGACTGTAGGCATTCACGTGTAGGCAAGGCACTGCCCTCAGATTTACTCATTCCTGGTTGAAGCAAAAAGCAACACAGAAAAATCCTGTTGTGTGGAAACAAACTGCTGAATACCTGCCCATGAGTATCTATTCTGATTAACTGGAGTCACAACATTATTTGCAGACCAGTATCCTGGAAAACATATGTTTCCAGCAGAGAATAGCATGCCACCTATCCAAGCAGCATGTCAAGGCATGCTCCTAGCCATAAAATAAATGGAAAATGTGCTGTGATTTTCTGCAATAAATGTAGGGGATATAAAAAGTATCAGGGAGTCTGTGGCTGGAAGGCTGCACTGAGACTCTAAGCAGCATCCCTCTTTCTTTCTTTTCCCATAGTATTTAGCATTTACTCCATCCATGGGTAACGTGCTCTTGAGAATTTTGTTTTCCTTGGTTAACTTCTTTACAAGAAGTCTCATCTTTAGACCTGAACGTTGCAGCAACTTGGTGACTAATTGCACATGCTCCTTGCTACATAGGTTGCCATGGTTTTCCCAGATCATTTCTGAGCATTTCACCAGTTCATTAGTAACTCATCGCCCCAGATGCTCTCCAGTCACCAAGCCCCTCATGATAACATCTTCCTTTCACAGCTGCATCTCTGTCATTGAGGAGTCCTGATTCATAAAACAGTGAGCGAGTAGCCTGTGGTTGGGGGCCATTCTCCATGCCTCTGTGTGGCCAGCAGAACACGAAAGATGCTCTGCACCCTAAATACACACCAACAGTAGCACCAGATGTGTTTTGCTAACATATTCCGTCTGGCACAAGTGACACTTAACTGGCTTACAGGTTTCCCAGATGACTTAAGGGACTGCTGCCTTTGCAAGACAGTTCCAGAAGATCATTGAATAGGACCTTGTTTCTTGGGATTCTTTTGAGTTATTAAGAACACTACTCAAGATGCTTAAAAAAGAAACAGACCCCTAAAGAAACCCATTTTCCCTCCCATCCTCCCTCCTAAGACAAAGGTTGCTCTCTATCCCAGACAACAAGGAGTTTTTTTCCTTCCAAGGCAAAGCACTTACCAATAGCACATGCTTTTCTTTGGGAAACTCCTTCCCATGGCAGTATCAACCTGCAGTTGATGCTGCCGTGACTGAACAAGGGCACAATCAGAGACTGAAAGATCCATTTGCCCTCTTGCAAAGAGAGAAAAACTTCTGGGTTGCCCTTGGTACTACCACAAAGCCACTGCTTCCTCCAGGAGGAAATGTCCTATAGGTACCTCTCTGCAGGCATTTGCCAGAGGGTGGTGGTGTCTAGTTGGCAATCAGCTACGATTACATGAGGAAGCGCCCAAAGAATTAGGGACAAAACACCCACTTTCCATGATCAAATATGGTCAGTAGCAAATCCCTCATTTGAAGAAGAATGGGATGCATCCAGCAGGACATGGCTGCAGCCTGTGAAACCTGTCTAGTTGAGTTGTGAATCAGGCCTCTCTGAGCTGAGTGGATCTAACCTGGTTTGATAATGTAATGTTTTGGTGGTTGTAGCTTCAGATGAGTAACTGATGTACTTTCTGTGTGTCTTCCCCTTCCATGCCCTGCACCTTCCCTCTTACACACTGCTTCTGGTGCCCCCAAACTTTGAGTTCTTTATAACTCTTACTTGCAATGCTTTCTGTTTCCTCCTGTTTTTGGTACATTTCCCTTTCTGTTTGCCCACCATTTCTCTGTCTTTTTGTGTTCCATTCTTAAAAAAAAAAAAAAAAAAAAAACTGCTTTCAATCTCACTTCCTCCCTCCTTCTTTGCTGTCCTCCTTCCCCATCACCTGCCCTCCCCTCGTCATGGTGTCTGCTGCACATCTGCCGTGATGTCTGACAATGGCTGTACTGTGGGGCTGCTTCCAATAATGTCTCTCATCTTGTCCGAATTGTTTGCAGAGGAGCAAAGCACGGTCACCTGGGAGTTACCTAGCAGTATGTAGTTTGCACTAAGTTGTATCCTATTCAACCTCTGTTAAGAAATAATGAACCTTCCTTAACCCTCTTCTTTTTCCCTTCTCATTTGGAGTGCAACGTTGCACTGACGAGCTGCCACCTCTACCCCCTTCTCCTCAGCTCCCCTGATCCACGGTTGCACGCTGCACGCTCTAATAGCAGGAAGGTTTTTCGTTTGTTTTGCTTATTTATTTATTTTGTATGCCTTGTTGCACAGGAATTTAGCAAGTGAAGACAAGGGGTTTGGTAATGAAGAAGCAATTAGCAACTCTCTCAAGGGTTATGGCATAGTCTCCCAGGGATTGTGTGGAGTGTGAGCACCCGTTAGCATAACGAGAAACACATCAGGTTTTCTGGAAAGGATATTCTTTAGTCTGCTAAAATACAATTCCCATTAGTGCCAGTGGAGGCTTCTGTTCTTGGAATAAGCACACTATCAGATCCAAAGAGGAATGGTTATTTCTTTCGGCCTTGGGTGGCTCTTCTGTTAGGAAGTTTCTGTCTTCTCCCTGGCAACTCTTAAAGGGCTTTTGGAAGTCTTGATCTGTGTTTCTAGTGGACAGTATTTTCCTGATCCTATTTTCCTGGTGCTATTTTACCCAGAAGATCAATTCCTAAATCGGGCCACCCTATGATCCTCTTTCACCTCCATTGCCTTCAGATTCAGCAGTAAGTGATGAGGGTCAACACAGAGCTCTGATTTATAAAATACTCCTTGCCTGTTGAAAGTGTGCACAGCAAGGACTGCAGGAGGAGGCAAATGCAGCCCAATGTATTCATGTTAACTGGTGCAGACCCTGGGGCCCCACTGATGCAAGAGGCCACATTGTATTCTCCTGCCCCGGCTGCCCAGCCAGTGCTCTTTGACTTCCTTGTGTCTCCAACAAGTTCCAGCTCAGTGGAGTTCTTGGACTCCACTGAGAAGCACCAAAATTTGGATGACTGACCTGAAAGAAAGGGAACGGCAAATAAAACTCAGCTCAGTTGGCAACTTTGCACGCAATACAAGTTTCCTAATATCCGAGACAGCGTGCTGAAGGAAGCAAAGCAGTTCTTTGCATTCAAATAATGAATAGAGCTGCAAAACACCCAGCTTCGCATTATGTAAATACCACAGGGCAGCTGAGATCTGAATTCCTGGGTAAGCAAACAAAATAGCATAGACAGTAAAAATAATACAAGGCTCTTTGAAAAGGTTACAATGAACAAAGTAAATGTTCTGCTAGAACAGAACAGGACCTCATTTGATGCACATATTGGATGGAGGATTCAAACAAGACCTAAGGGACTGGAGGACATCCTGAGCTCCTTTCCAGGCAGGGTGGACTGCAGTGGTCTGAGGACTTCCCTCTTTCAAGCAGCTTTTATGTAACAACAGACCCAAGGAAGCCTCTAGGGGATGAGTGAAGATCTGTCTCCTCCTCAAAGCAGTCTGCAAAGCACCTGGATGCCAGCAAAGTGCAAGAAGAGGAAACAATCGTTTTGCTTGTTTGTGAGCCTTAGAAATGGTGGTTGAGCAGTGGGGCAGTGAAAAGCTCTGAGAATGGCCATTTTACAGGACACTTGTGTGATTTCTACAGAGCATTTTGCAAGGCTTTGAACCCAAAGGGAAAGGAACAGAGTCCCAAGCTGCTGCTGGCATGGGGATGTGGCTCAGTTCTGCCCATGGGAGGTTGTATTAGTCTGCATAGAGATCTCATTATTTACTTTTGAGCCACAAATGATGCGAAAACAACAATAATGAGCCTGAGAAGCCGTTTCTGGATAAGTCCTGGTAGAATTGGAGCAAGGCCCTGCTATCCTGCTTGCCCTCGCCACTAGGTTTTGATAGAGTAGTGGTAGAACAAGAAGTCAAGAGTTTAGAAGTTTGATAAGCATCCTCAGATGCTTATCTGATGCCTCAGATATAATTATCAAATGGCCTATGCCTTCCTTGCTCACTTCTTATTGCTGATTTTGTTCTCTAGGTGATACCCAGGACTGTTTTTCACGCCTTCCTGTTCAGAGTTGTTCTGGGCCCTGAAGTAGTTTTAGGTGAAACTAGTCTTGGAGGACTTTGTGGGATGCTTGGCTACTGTGCTGCCCTGTAACCCTGCTAATCTACCGCTGATCCCTGTGATGCTGTGTTTGGTGTGAAGTGCTGCATCTTGCTCTGCACCCACAGTACCCATGGGCACAAAGCTAAAAGAAAAGCCCATTTCAGCAAATGTAGACCTCATTCGCTCCTCCTGTTTAGCACCAGATCTGCCATTCCACAAGTCCTTCTCCCCATTTGTTATACCACCTTTACCATTTTTCTCCTTTCCCTCCTTGCCCTGTCCCTCCTCGTAAAACCCTTCCCATGCTGGGAGCTGAACAGCTGGCTGTGGTGCAGGCCTGCCCTCTCACCCTGCTCCGTCTCGCTCCATGTGCCTTGCAGCCCATCCCGGACACAAGCCCCATGAAGCGCTCCATCTCCACGCTGACGCCGCAGCGTCCTCACGCCATGCACCTGTACGAGTACTCCTTGGAGCGCATGCCGCCCGACCAGGTCCATCACCACCACCACCACCGCTGCCACCGGCGGAAAGAAAAGAAGCAGAAGTCCATGGACAGGACTGCCCATCAGCTGGCCGATGGGGAAGCTGGTGAGCCAGGTGCATGGTGGGGTCTTGCTGGGGAGGGGAGCTCTCCTTCCATGTGGATTTGAGGTCCCACCTGCATGTGTGGAAGGGCTCCCCTCTCTCACACCTGGAGGTTCTAAGGCACCTGGCTGTTCAAAGGCAGATTGATCATCAAGCCTCAACCAATGTTCTCCTTTCAGTTGCTCAGTCTGGTGAGTCTTCTTCCAAGGATAAGAAGCAAGAACGCGGTCGATCCCAAGAGAGGAAGCAGCACTCCTCCTCCTCCTCTGAAAAGCAGCGCTTCTACTCCTGCGACCGCTACGGCAGCCGGGACCGTTCTCAGCCCAAGTCGGCTGATCAAAGCAGGCCCACCTCACCCAACGGAGGGCCAGAGCAAGGTCCACACAGACAGGTGAGGAGAGCAGAGTGGGGAAAAATCCCTAAGGCCTCCAGGGGTGTACGTGCCTTTTCTTGTGTTTTATTTAAAATAATCAGAGAGAATGGGGAATGCCAGGCAGCAGGAGATAAAAGCTTTTAGATGCTGCTTACTGCTTCAGATCGAGCCCAGGGTTGGAAATACTATCCCTTGATGGCTCTTTAATAGCCTTCTACTAAAGCATTGAGTTAATGCTTTCACAGAGACCCCCCTGCCACAGCAACAGCCTTAATAACAGCTTCAGGTAGCCTGGTGCAGAGCAGCCTGGGAGTCCTGGAAATTGGCCTGACTTGGTGGAGGTGGAAAAAAACTTACCTGAGCCAAGGCAGGTCAGTAATGTGGAGTGAGAAGCTACACTGGTCTGCAGAACTGAGCCTATCCCCTGCCAGATTTGTTGATTTAGCATCTACAGCCGTGCAGTGCTGCAAGCATTTGGTGATTGTGAAATAAATCCATGCCATTCTGGTATAATCCAGTATAGGAAAGGAAGGCTCCTGAGAGCCAGAGCCACATTTAGCCCTGATGCCGTGGTGATTTCAGTAGGGTTTGCGCATGAAGCGATCTCGTTAATTTGCCCTTGAGGTTATGTGGGCTTTGGAGCTGTTCCCTTGGTGGAACAGGTTAATTTTCACATGGTTTCTGAAAGTTGAAATGAAAAAGTCATTTTGCCCTGGTGTCAAATCAATCTGCAAATCTGTTCTCTAGCTAGAAGGAGAAATCAAGATAATAGAGAGTGAGAACACAGGAAAAAATAGGATCCAAGAGGGAACTGACAGAGCTTAAATGGCCTTCATGCTTTTTTCAGAGGAGTTTTCTTTCTTAATTTCTCTCTTTGCTTTGAGAGATGGTGAGATGACATTGCTTTTAGCAGAACTATATCTTTCCTTCCTTGCCGACTCCACTTGCCCGAGCTTTAAATACCATGTATGTTATAATTAAAAAAAGAGAGTTTCCCACAGTTAATAAGAATTCAGTATTGGAGCATTGCTTGCCTTTATGAACCTGATCCCCCAGTTCCAGTGAAGTCTGTATCGTCCTTCACGTCCTGTGGGGAGCAGAGAAAGCCAGTTCTTTCAGTGTCCAAGTGTTATATTGATTTGCATTTTATCTGCTTTCAGTGGAACTGTTAGTACATTTCCTGGTCATATCAAGAAAAAAAAGAAGATTATAAAAATAGCCAAACCAGCATATCATTTCTGTCCTAATGAGCTGAAGACTCTTTGTCTTCATAAGGAGTCTCTGAGATGCTCTGTCCCTCTGTTTCCTGCTGTACTTTGGCTCAATAACAACATGCTTGTTAACTCTCAAGCATTTTCTTTGTTAGCTCTTTCCTTTCCTTGGGAGACTCAGCTTTTACCAAGGGTCAGGCCTGGCACAGCACATTTCACCAGGCTTCTCAAGCAGAACGAGGCCAACTCCGGGTGTGCTCTGCCAAAAATGTAGCTTGGTTCTAGCTAGAGTCAAGCCAAACATTGAAAGACAGGTTTGGATCAAAAAGAAAGTCCCCAGAGATTTTTGTGCAAAAAAAGGGGGAAGAACATTGCACTGGGGCCAACTCCAAATGCTTTGTTTGACCCAAATAGAAATGTTTGTGTTTCTTCCGAGTGATACCACTGTTTCCTTCTTAGTCCAGGAGAATTGGTTAAAAAAAAAAATCTGTCTCACAATAAAGATATGAAAAACTTCTTATTTATTTATTTTTTCAGAAACATTGTAGGATGAGAGATTTGGGTATTTGGAAAAAAAAAAGGGGGGGGAGATATTTTAGCATGAAAATGTCATTATCTTAGCTCACAACCATTTCCTGGATTGAAGAAATTTGAATATCCTACAAAAGTATATTCTTGGGCATTTTAATGCTTATCAAAGCAAATTAGTTCTGCTTGGTTTTATTGGCATTTTGAGTGCTCAACAAGTACGTTCCCCACACTGGCATTACACTGCAGCCTGATGGCACAGTTCTGCAGGATTTTCCTCATAAGAGGCAGCTGCACAATTTTTTTTACCCTGCTACGAATGGTGAACTTGGGATCCATTTGGGATCCATTAATCTTTAGGGCAGGGATCTGCTGCAGGTCCGTAACAGGCAAATGTGGTGCTGCCAGAGATGGGAAAAGGGGGGAAAATGAAGATAAGTAAAAGAAAAAGCAGTTTCCGGCCTCTGATATCCACCACCTTTCCCTTAAAATGCCTGGGGAAACTGAGGCAGAGCAGAACAAGTGTTGACTGATAGCCAAACAAGCAACAACTCGATATTTTTAGAGGAAAGGCAAAGCAGCACTATGAAAATGAAAGGTCTCCTCTGGAAAGGTTAAGTCACCGAAGGCTCCATGATTTTAAAACACGCTCCCAGGGTTACTCACGTATTAGCCTGGGAGGATGTAAATAGAAATGGCCAAACCAGAGCACGTTCCTCTCCCTCACGTCATTTATTCCGTAGTGTAGCTCAGTTCACACCCGCACGTCATGTCAGTAACACGAAAAGCTGCCACTCACTTGCCATTAAAAAACTAAATGTAAAATGTTAACTAGCAGAAGCTGACCAGGCGTTTTAATATTTTTCTTTTAAGAACCCCTTTGCTGAAGTTAAGAGCTGTTACTTTTGAGATTTTGCAAGAAGGGGCTATTTAATCAAAGCACATATAATTCCCAAACAATGAAAAAAAATCTACCCCAAAATCCTCCTTCCAAACAGTCGGCTTTAGACAACCAAAATGATGCCCAACATGAGCTTCACAGCTCTTGGGGGAGCCATGCAAGCTTTCTCCTTCCCCGAAGCTCGTAGTGTTACCATACAAAATGTGCCCCGCAACGCGCGGTGTCCGTCCGAGCCACTTGCGAGCGCGCAGGTAAGGCGCATGCCGAGCCCGTGTCTGGTGTGGTGCCTTTCCCCCGGACACCGTCCCTCTCTGTTGGAGCTGTTTGCGTCCTACCGATGCTCTGATTGTTTCTGTTCCTATCTACTGCTCCCAGAACTCCAGTCCCCTGGCTCTCCACATCTCCCGTCTAGTTATCGCTCAAGAACCTCCTTCCCCTTGACTGTGCTCGTCTAAACTCTCTCTTTTTTGCTTCTCTTCCCTCTTGTGACTTGTCTCTTCCCCCTTGTCGCTTGCCCTTCTGTTTTGCACCTGCCTGCCTCTGTGTTCGTCTGGCGTTTCCCTTTTTTATTTTTGATTTGCTTTGTTCCAATTTTTATGTAGGGCAGTGGTTCAGTTAATGGGAGCCCCTTGCTGTCGACATCTGGTGCTAGTACCCCATGCCGGGGTCGGAGGCAGCTCCCACAGACTCCACTGACCCCTCGCCCCAGCATCACTTACAAGACCGCTAACTCCTCGCCCGTGCACTTCACCAGTTTCCAAACCGGCCTGCCCACTGGGGGGCCGCGGGGAGCCAGGCCCACGCCACCGTGGCCCGCATCGGCTCCGACCCCTACCTGGGGCACCGCGATGACAGCGACAGCCCCTACCGCGTGGTGCCGGAGGATACGCTCACCTTCGAGGAGGCCGTCGCCACCAATTCAGGAAGGTCCTCAAGGACTTCTTACGTCTCGTCCTTGACCTCCCAGTCGCACCAAATCCGCCGGGTCCCCAATGGCTACCATTACACCCTGGGCCTCAACACGGGCCCCGGGACAGGCACCAGAGGACGTAGTTATTACCATGAGGCCGATGAGGATGACTGGTGCTAGTGTCATGGCAAAGCCCTTTAAAATCGATGAGTTTTATCATCTGGAAGGCTGTGCACGGAGCCCCGCGTGGGCCCGGGGCCCAGCAGGGCGGCAGCCCTGCCCCCAGGGCAGCCCCGGCCGCGAGGACGGCTCTGCCCACCGGCCCGAGCCCCTCCGAGCGAGACACCCGGGCAGCCGCTCTCCTCTCTTTTTCTTTTTTTTGCACTAGACAAACTCCACGAAGAACGAAGGATCGCGGGGAGCCCCTCTCTGCCCCCTGCGCTTGCCCGCCTCCCTCCTGCCTTGTCTAGTTGGAAGCTGTAGGCCGTAGGCTGAACCCGTGCCCAGGGCACGGTGCTGCTCGTCGACGATGGAAACAGGACTCAACCCCTTTCCAGATCAGCATCGTTTAGTCGTTGGGCTGTTTCGTATTTATTTATTTTAGTTTTCTGGTTCCTGGTCAGGGTGGGAGTCGGGGAGTGCAGACGGACACCCGCAAACCCAGTTGAATCACGTTTTGTCTTGTTCAAGGCCAAGGGGGAAGAGCATCTACCTAGATGCTGGGAGAGGAGAGACATGAGGGAGAACAAAGGACAGTCCCTCGGGACTCGATGTTCAGCCACAGCAATCCCCTCCGATGGAGCCGCCCGCGCACCTTTGAGCTGATAAAACACTGCAGCGCCAGGACTCTGCTGTGACACCGCTGCTGCGCGCATCTCTTTCGTGTTCCTCCCCACTTTGGATCCTTCACGATGACACACGATGAAGCCGCCAGAGAGCTACTTTGGAAGGACTGTTTCCATGCTGCTGGAACTTTTCTTTCCGTCCCACTCTCTCCTGTCAACTGCAACATGCCCTCACTGTTTTGTCTTGTTTACAATATAAGCTTGATTTAGCAAAAAAAAAACAACAACAACAACAAAAACTTTAAAAAAATGGGGAAAAAAGGAGAAAAAAGCATAGGGATGAGAAAAAGAAATGCTATTGGTTTTATATCAAGCTATTAGATAGAACTTTAACTTTTCATTGTGTGCATTTTTGTAAATTGTACAGTAAAAAAAATAGAAAAGAAAAAAAATTACTCTTTATGTAGAGAATTAGTCCAATTGTCATTCCAGGTCCCACCGTTTCTACCGAATGCTCCAGTTGTTCACTACTAAGTGCCTAACCTTTGAAATCTTTCACAGCGACGATGCAACCTCTTGCTTCGATGCATCAGCAGTTGGGGAAGTGCCGGGAGGGGAAGGCAGGGAGGGAGGGAAGAGCCGGGCAGAGGGCTCGTCCCGACGCGCTGTGGTACGCCCAGCACCACGCGTCAGTCGCTTCTGGTTGTTGGACGGCGTCTTGAAGTCCCTGGTTGGAAGCTTGTAGTGGGGAAGGCAAGCACGCTCTGGGGTTGGTCTGGGTTTTGTTGGCCTTTTATTTATGTATTTATTTTAATACTTGCTGGGAGCGGGAGGGGAGCAATTTCAGCAAATGAAAACGGCCTTTGCTTATTGACTAGAGTTTCAGGCCTGCGGGGGAGATGCAGCTGCATATTCAGCAGCTGCTGGGATGCTCTCACAGGAAAAGTAGCGTTTTTCACACTGCATGTTGAGTTGTAGTTTGGCTGTGAAAGCTCCGGCCGTGTTCTGTGGTGCGTAATTTGTGTCGAGGGCAGTTGGACAGTCTTGTTTTTATTGCCTGTTAAAAGAAAAAAGAAAAAAGAAAACTTCTAACTCTGATTCTCAGGGATGAGATTTCTGTGTTCTTACACTGACTCTTCTGTTGGATGCTCCCTTTATTTCGTGCACGTGTGGATTTCTGCACTTCGAGCCTGGGAAAGGGACAAGCGCAATATGCTGCCAGCAAGGGGGATAAAGGGCTGGAAGGAACCCCCCGACGGGACCTTGCGTCGGTGGCGTCGGAGAACCGCTAGATGGCTCGGATGGGGCATGGTGAGGCCAGGAGCACTGAAGACACGTAGGACGCGGACCAAAGGTTGAAGAAGGAAGGGTGGGAGGTTGCGAGTTGTCAGTGCTGGGAGGGTTTATCACTGAAGATGAGAATAGGAGGAGACCTAGCTGGCTAGTTGTATTTTTTGGAGCATCTACCAAGCGCCAGAACTGTGAAACTTCTATAGGGCAAGCAGTCGCTTAGAGCAGGTAGAGACCTGGTGGATCCTGGAGATTCGTTTTGTTGCTAAGGTAGGTTAGGGCATCGGACTTTACAAAAAGCTCAGGAGGTCTCCAAATACTCTCAGCAAAGTCTTTCAGCTTCAGCTGGGAGCAGTCTGTTGTGGGGCGGTTCTTAACATCTCCTGTAGCTTCTGCGTTGAGGAAATTCAACCAGGTTTGCTCCGTTCTCCGTTGTTTTTGTTTGTTTGTTTGTTGGTTTGTTTCGGTTTTCACTAAGAATCTCTGGCCAATCTCATCCCTGGATTCTGCTCAAGGAGCGCTCCGCCCTGTACCTCTGCCCCTGTCCTTACACGCACTTTGGCCGAAGGAAGTGCGGCGACCAGAGGTACCTTATGGATAATGGCCGTAACCTGCAAACGGAGGGCTATGCAACAAGATGACACGTAAGGAAACAAATTAAAACAACAGACAAACAGAAAGACCTTCATCCATCTGTAGCTTTATCTGCTGGATTTTCCTGTTTCAGGCTTCAGCATGATTGTGACCAAATGTTTTATACATTTTTTTCCTTATATGAAGGCACAAACACTTTATTTGAAATTTTAAAGAAAAAATAAATGTTACTATTTTACTCCACAAAGTAAAGGAGAGGGAAGAAAAAATCTCTCTGACAGTGCATGCAAACGTTGTACCCACGCTGGAAAGCAAAAGAGATGTCTTTCTGTATTGAAATATTTTGTCTTTTCTCCACTCTGCCTTTCCCCTCTCTTAATGCTTTAAGATATTAAACCCCACAGCCCCACACTAATAAAACCATCCGGAAGCGCACAGCCAAGTGGTGGCATTGGATCATTTAAATTCCTCTGTAGAACCTGAAGAAGAGCTTCAAGTTGTCCAATCCTCCACCCATCTCATAGAGGTGGTTGTTTCAAATGACGACAGTGACAGACAAGCCTGACCACAATTGTTCATAACCCTTTTCCTATATATTTTTACAGCCTCAATGCTGTCTCTTAAATGCATACATAATATTTCCAAGGATTCTCATAGTGAGTTGCCAAACTTGAAATGCACCAATCAGTTTTCTGCATCCAGAACCAGTCTCGTAGTGGCTGTACTTTGAATAAGTAATGTTTGCATGTAAAATATATACATATATACATATATATAAAAAGTATGTGCATGGAAAATGTTTATCTTCGTACTTTTTTGATACAATGTATTCCTCAGTTGTTAATTTTTAATTATATTTGATATAAATTGGGGGTTTGTTGCAAAACTTTATATTTAAAAAAACAGTGTTAAAAATTATACAAGTTCCAACCATGCAACAAAACTTGGAACTTTACCCAAAAAAAGGAAAAAAAGGAAAAAAAAAAGGTTCTGTGATTGCCTAGTTTGCTGCCTGAGTAATATTTATCAGCCAAACTTTGAATTCTGCAGTTGTTTCTACAATTACATTTTGTATGAAGCAAAGTCCTTGAATTAAAATAAAAACTTAGCAAAAAAAACCTTTCAAATTCCAAGCCGGTGTGTGCAGTGTGCCTAGCTTCACAGGTGCTCGGTTTGAGTAGGGAGCTGTTCACAAATTTGCCTTCCTTGTGTGGATCCAGTGAGGAGATTCCAATTCCTGGAGTCCAACAGGCAGCAAAAAATCACATAATTTAAGTTGAGGGTTATAAGATTAAAAAAAAAAAAAAAAAAGCAAACCTGATCCTAACAGCGATTGAGTCCTGCAGCTTTGTGCTTATATTATTTTATTTTTAATAGAGGGATATTTCTCTTGTTTATGTGCAAAAACACTGGGCATGCAACTTCCTTTAGCACCTTCATTAAAGCTTCTCCACTTACTTCTAGGGAGACTCCCTGCTGCTACGTCTGATGGGCATGGAAATATCAGGACCTGGGGGTCTGCTGGGTGCCAGGCGCTTGCCGTGGGCCCAGGTTAAAAATAATGCTAGTTACAAATAATAACGTCATGATAATACTTGCTGAGAGGGCCCCGAATTCCCCACTGCCAAAGCTTGCAGGAATGGCCATGGCCCATGGAAGGGAATTCTCATTTCTTTTGACAAGTCGCAGCGAGGTTGAAGCAAAGTTTTTGCTCTCGACTCGCAGCCTGGACTGGGCAGCTCTTCTGCCTGGGCCTTGGGTCAACAGAGGGCAGAGGAGCCTGCGGAGAGGAGTGCAGTTTCCATTCGATTTTTCGAGATATCCCCAACAAATTTATCCTTCTCAGCGTGGCTGCGCGGTGGAGCAGGGAAGGTTTGGAAAACGGGGCGAGGCTGGAGGATCAACGCGCCCCTCGACTGCACGGAGAGGCCGGGGGCTGGACTCCACCGCAGCCATCCGTGGAGCTGGGACCTACCTGGGGGTCACATGAACAACCTCTGTCCTCAGGATGGGTGTCCCAGAAGAATTCCAAAAACAGCCCAAAAGCCCAGAGGAGTTTGTAATCCCCAAAGGCTTTGGGGGCCTTTCTAGAGGGTTTATTTTTCCCTCCAGCTCTGCTCTTCCTGTTGATGAGCCCGGCAGTGGTACCGCCCGCAGCAGTTTTGGGGACGGGGCAGAGGCACCCGTGGAGGCCGTGCAGGATCATCACAGGAGCTGGGTGCCTACGTGATGACTGACAGAGCAGCTCTGTTTTGGTGCGGGTTCAAAAGAAAAGCAGCCACTGCCAATAAAACCTGAATTTCCTATCAGCAAAACCCTGAGCAAACACTTCGAAGCCCCACTCCTTGTTTTGCCATTAGGGGGTAGCATTTTCTGGCCGTTTTTTTTTTTTTTAATATATGCTACAGAAACAAATCTGGGAAAAAGCTGCTTCATCTCCCCTTATTTCCCTTGTCCCCCTCTGAGGACCTTTTCCTAAAATACTTGTCTTAGGATGTGCAGGACCCTGAACACGTTTGCTCCCAGG